AGCTCTTTGCAGAGCTGATATGAGTCCACAGGGCTTATTATCTGAGGCTCTATGCTGTGAGAGAGCAGCTAAATTGCTCCTGGACCTCAGCTAGCTGTGGAAGCAACCCGCCTACATTTACATAGTGCTGTCCTTAAGCAAAGCAAGTGTGGAATGACCTTAATTTCTGTACTTTCATAACCTGATGAATTGCCCATCAAAAAAGAATAGTTTCTATATAAAGATCCACACATCCGAGTTAATATGGAACCAATGTTCCTTTAAATTGCCTCTCATGAAAAGGACTTCCTCTACTACACGTGTTGATTATTTGGTAAACTTTTACATACTTGGAGATCTGAAACTATATCTCTGCTGGAAACTAATGCCAGGTCCTTCAGTCTTAAGAACTGTGATGATGGATTGTTTCCTGTCCCTTATAAACAGATGACATTTTAAAATTCATCAATTTTCTTCCTGCAACAAACCTGGCAAGCTCATAAACATCCTTCACAACCTCTTCTATTACTGCTTGCCTATGGAGGATTGATACTTCTCCAGAGTTTTAATTCATTTTTTGTTAAGACACTGTGCTTTAATCCTGGGCTGGTATTGACAGGCTCCAGACTCTAAAGATTCTAGAAAAGCAGAAGGTCTCAGACGGCAGTATTATTAACTGCTGTCATTTGAACTGCCATTTAACAACACTGTGTTGTCTCAAGTCTGGGACATGCTGAACCTTTGCTGTTTGAGACCCTCTGGACTCACTCCATGCTGAACTAAGACCTCAAAATCAGTCCCATGTCGAATGTGAAGAACAAGAGAGGAGCAGTCCAGCAGATATTGTGGTGCCTTTTGAGTGATATTTGAATGTGTATCTCTTAGACAAATTATTCATGATCTGCTCTATCAGACAAAGGTCACATTTACCAGGAAAAATATTCTTCGGAATGCACTTGCTACTTTGATGCTTTTCTTTCCACATAGTCAAAAGAAAAGAGGAAAGCAATCAAAATTATTCATAAAGTAAGTAACATTATGACAGGTTACAATATTGCAATATTTAACCAGTATATTACAGCTTTCTGAATCATTGAGCCTTGAAGTGTTTATCTGCACTAGCAGAAAAATACCTCAAAGAAAGAAAAATGTTGAAGAACATTACCTCATTACTAAAGGCACATGCGACAATATTATTTCCTGAAAAGGGCCAGTGTATGTGAAAAAGAAACAGCAGGAAAATATATTGGTGATAATGCTGGAATAGTAATAGCTATGGCAAATATACTTTTTCACTATCAGCTGAGTACTATTCTGCATTTATATTAAGACCAAAGACACAGGATAGGCTTACAAGATGGGATGTGTCTTCATTTCATTAATGGAAAAATTGAACACGAGGACATTTTTTTTTTTTTTGTAAAGTCTAAGACAAGCTGGTGGAGAAGGGCTGTAACAGAAGCAAAATCTGCCTCCTGTCTGCCAGTTTTATATACACAAATTTCAACAATAGTCTTTGGAGGCATTACAAGGCATTCCACCTTAGCCATGCTTCAGTGGTGAAGGGAGAGGGGGAAGAAAATTAAAGCTCTTTCTGAGGCTCAGCCCTAAGAAAGAGACAAATATCACAGAATGACTTTCCTCTGTTTTTCTGATCAAAAGACTATTTCTAATTTCTACACATAGCACTAAGTAGTAATATTTCGCAACCATCATTCATTTCCATGGCAACATCCCTTGATATTACAAGCAGTTAATTATGCCGTTGCTGTGTGGTACACTGTGTGTGTTATTTACAGAAATAGATAAACATTTAATGAAAGCATCTTTGAATATATGAACAAAATAAAAACCGCTGTTCTATCCCTGTGGTCTTCCCTCATGCACTATGCAAAGAAAATATACTATTAGCTGTTATTTGCTGAAACCTATAGAAAATACAATGTTCCTGGTAAAGAAACGTGATAACTTTCTATGACAAAGGAGGATTCTGACTGAGATTTTAATTAAACAAAATTATTTTCTAAAAAGATATCATATAAAGATGCACTTGGTATAACTGGATTTGATATAAATAGACTATAAATTGCTAGGGATTCAAAACAGAACAAATGTCTTCACGGTTATCTTGATTATATCAGTGCTATAATGCAACATATCTGTCATGAAGTAACTGTCCTTGACTGTCATCAAGATCCCTCTTGTAAGTGAAAGAATATCCTATGGTTTGATTGTTCTGATTTATAGTGTAAATCGAATAGTTCTGTGGTGCATGGGCACTGGATATCCAATTTCATAAGCTAGAATTAACGTTGTTTTGTTAAACAGTGACCTGTAAATGTAATGCAGTCAATACAGGAAAAAAGAGTATAAATTGAGTAATGAAGTTTGCAAAAAGTGTCTTAAACAGCCATCTAAAAATGTTTTCAATAAGAACTTTATTGAATTAAAAAAGTAGAACTTAGACTGAAAAAAGTCAAATACAACAAATGAATTTCAACATAATCAAATACAAGGAACACATATGGAAATAAACATTTCCTAACTATGAAAACAGGATAAAATACTGTGCTTAGAAAGCTGTGATTCACAAAATTTTAAAGGTCATAGTGGATTATCACCTCAACCTACCACTGTATCAAAGTGCACTAATGTGATGCTGCACTAAATATGTTTAAAAAGAGGAATAGTATGTAAAAGTAGACAGATGACCTTCCCTTTGTTAAATGACCACTTTGCTGAGCCTACTGCTAGTACAGGTTATTATGATCTGATTAATACACTACAAAAAGCATGTGAAAACCCTGAAAAATTGAAAGGAAGACCACAAAGATGACCTGGTGTAAAAAGCAACCCAAAGTAAAGACACTGTTGAGAGATTACCTGATCACTTTATATAGCTAAGATACATGAGGATTTTCAATCTTGCTATCAAGAAAGTTGCAAGAGCCAAAAGCTGGGTCATGAAATCAGAAAAACACAGCCTTACAGGAAGAAATAACATCCTTAAGTGTCCCAAAGATTACAAGAGGAGCAATATAACTCATTATTATCTGTTCTGTGGTCTCTGAAATGAAGTCATTTTCATGGGTAAGAGATACCTGAAGGAGTACTGGACTAGTTGCAAGTATCGGCCCTTGCTAACCTTTCCTCTGACCCAGAAATGACCACATATTTTCTGAGTTTTATTTTGCTGCCGTTCCCTCAAGCCCTGAGAAGCGATGGATACAGGAGATAATCCTCAGCGGGTGCTCTATGGTGCTACAGAGAATCCATTTTCCTGGGCAGTCTGCTGGCGCATGCTGCTCAGATCACCAGGATGAATGTGATTGACAGATTTCAGGTCATACAGGCTAATACCATGGTGGTTCTATTTCTGCCTTCCCATGGGTCATCTGCCAGCTCATTTGGAGACACCTAAACTCTTCATTTTGCTATGAAAGCAGTAACTGGGAATGTTGGTGCCATCTCAGCACCACAACATTACTCTCATCCTAAATCCAAGTCACACACCATACCAGCTACTAGGAGGAAAGTTAACTCTATCCTAGCTAAAACCAGGACACATGCATAACTGTTAATCTCTACAGGATTTAAATGCATTAGTCTAACCCAAGTTTATAAAGTTAAAAGCCCACGCTGTTGACAAGATGTGCAAGAATACTGTGAAGAAGTTCAGGGAGTCAACTAAGAGAAACTAGGCTGGAGGGCTCTGGAAGCAGTGCTGGTACACCCAGTGCACACCCACAGCCAGAGGTGCACAGGGGATTGTTCGTCCTGTCCTTCATGGGTAGTAAACAGCTCCATGCTGCTTTTGGGAGAATACTGGCCCCAAAAGTAGGCCAAGAAAAAAACTTTAGCTTTTTTTCTTGATACACTGTTCTTTCCCTTGTCATTTCAGTAGCAAATAACACCTTGAGCTTGCCTCCAGTCTCATCACTGCCCAGATGCCCTCACAGAAGCAATACCCTACACCAGAATAAAGCTGTTGGGCTTAGAGGTTTACACTTGGCTTTTGAAGGCTGTGATTCCAAACTTTCAAATAACACAGTATTTATAGCTTTTCCTAGGATCGTAACAGTGGCTACTAAAATTATACAGGCACTCACATAAAAGAAAATGAAAATACAAGTACAACGTGGCTTTCACATCCGATATTTTTGATCTGGTAAATTTAGGTGTCATATATTTAGTTCTACCCACTGAAACACTCAACTTCAAATTATTTTGCTTGGACTGTGATGTTGTAGGCTATAAACAAATCTTAAAATTATTGCAGTTGTGCCCTGATTTCTTAACAACAGTGCTTTCTGCGCATAACTAAATATAGTAACTTTTGGACTTTGGTTCAACACAGTTTAAAAATGCTGCTTTTATCAAAGCCTAGCTAAGTATATTTATAACTGAATTGACTGAAGCTTTTTGTTTACTTTCTCTGATTTGTCTTGGCAACATATAAATCAAATTACAGATTAGAGTCTTTGTTGATTATTTTCCTAATAGAACTCCTACCTTAATATATTTTTCCTGGTCTAAGCAAAATACTACAAAGTAGTCTGCCTACAGTAGCACATTTTTACATAAAGGAGGTGATCGGCATAGACCATGCAGGTGTTAGATTTAATGAAAGTATATGAATTTTATACAGCTATCAATACATGCACCAAGTATCATTCTGGGACTACTGAACTGCAAATGGGCTTACAAAATGAGCTGTGAGTTCTAGCAAGCCTCTTACAAGAAAATAAATCTTAAGAACAAAGACCATCTGTGCTAAAATGCCTCTAATTTTTTCTTAGCATCATCAGTGGCTAGCACACTCTCAAATTTAAAGGATATGACAGAATGAAGGTACCATGGTTGGCAGAATCTGATAGAACAACTGGGTACATTAATTTAATTTTCGTTATGACTTCTAAAATAATATGCACTGTACTACATAAATATTATTTCAGTTGTAATACAAACATCAGAAGAGCCTTCGCAAAGATTAGCAGGCTAATAGAGGATACTGCACTTACCAAGGTGTGTGTTCATCATCTTCGCACAATATTTGCACATGGCTTCCAAGTCATTTAGCTGTCCTTGTAGAAATGAAATTTGGGCCTCCAATTCCTCCTCCTACAAATAAAACATTATTAGCATTTTTAAACAAACAAACACCTTTTTATGATATACAGTAAGCTTGGTAAGCTAACCCTTGACATGTTTAGATGTCTTCTAATTCTTTGTGTCAGCAAATTTTGGAAATAAAAAGAATTACCTTCCAGATGTATTTATTAAAAGACTTGTAAATTATTTTGTTATTTCATGGAAATAGGGTTTGGTCTTAAAGTTTAAATTTTTTTAATACTACCCTTTTTCTCATTTAAAGAATCTAAGAAAAAACTGCTTACATTCTCCTACGTTATCCATGAAAGGTTAAGAGTTCTTATTTCTTTTCCAGAAACATAGTACCACAGCAACAGTTGAAAAAAAATATCAAGGAGAAAAATACACACTTCTGGCAGAGTAATTTTAACAGCAATCCTTTTGACACCTCAGAAAAATTCCTTTTTATTTTAAGGTGTACATTTCATGAGACCTAATGCCACACCTCTAGGGTGCACTACTATTATAAATTTTGGCATATTTATTTGAGTCACACATCATGCTCTACCTGTATTAAAAACCTGCACTTCTACGCCAAGGCAATTGCAATTGCACAAAACTTCTTATACATTGTTTAGGTGAAAACTATTTGCAGCTCACATACTGTAAAAGAGTTACTTTGAATTATCAATTTGTTTAATAAGGATACATCAAGAGTAATTTAAAATATAAATTTTAAAAACAGATTATTGATTTTAAGGCCTTACTTTAAGCTACAAGACCTGTATATGCAATGGAAACTACCTCAATGAAGAATTTCTCTTTTAACGCTTTTGTTTGCTATTTACAATTGCATCCAGTCTTGACTTAATGACCATATGGCAGAGAAAGTCATCACTTTTTAAGAAAAAAAACTTTTTAAGAAAAAAGCTTAAACACATAGAGTATCAAGCAATTTTGTTTTGTTTAATTTAAGAATGCAATTGAATTCAGAAATATAAAGGCAAAGCAGTATTTCAGCATGCTGTTTTTCTTAGGATTTTCAGTCTTATCATATCCTTGTTTGATGGGGATTGCTGAACATAAGTGTGAATTACATTTCAAATGAAAAAATTCCCAAACTGATCAGCCTGAATCAATCTTGATTTAAACATACAAGTGATCTTAATCTTCATCACAAACTGAGACACAGAGGCAAGAAAAGGAAACTTAGCACTAATACAGCATATATCCAAAAGCAATTGAAAAAAACAGTAGCATTTTGCAAGATCCAGCAATATCACTTTCTCCTTATGCACTTTTTCCTCATGCCTATAGCCTGCTAAATATAAAAAATATATTTTTCTTTACTATTTCTCTATGTTAATAAACCCTCACCTTATTTTACCCACCCTCATACTCTTGTCAATTTAAGCCTCAAAGGGACTGATTTTATATTGGCAATTTATGGATTCTGAAAGACTAACCTCATTTAAAGGCTGCAGTTCTGTCACAGCCCATACAAGCTCTTCAAGCAATGCCTCTGCAGAAGACCTTTTGCTACTACATATAGAAATCTAACAATTGGAAGAAATAATATACCATAAATTTTAAATTGCCAGTTCACTACAAATCTAGCTATAAGATGGGGAAAGGAAACAGTAATTGAGTATTTTCCTATTAAAAAATCTATTTCCTAAAAACACAAAGTCAGTAATGGAAAACCACTATCTCCTACAACTGAATAAAAAAAATTAATTTCACATAATTTAAATTTCCATGTTTCCCACACTGTTTTTTCTTATTCATGGATCAAAACAGCAGTAAATTGATTTTAAATGTTTTTGGACAGCTCAATCCACTTGAGCAGATTACAAAACTAACCTTTTCAACTGTACAAGAGTACCCCTTCCTTTGGCATGGGAGACTGGTGCTGAGTACACCACTCCTTCAGCTCATTTGGAATCCAGCATGGGCTGCAGAAGCTTTCAGCATACCCAGTGCTTACAAAGGAAGGCACTGTGGCCAGGAACTCACAGACAGTGCAAGAGGTTTCTTGCCAAGTGGGAAATCTTGCAAAAGGCTGAGTGAATGCACTTTGAGCTTCTTATTTATCTGGCACCCTCACGAAAGGCACCAAGGAGTGCTGCCAGCAGGATGAGCAAATAAGCAAGGCTGTTAACTTGGCATTAGACACACAAGAGACCCAGATGTACTGTTTGCATAAGAAGACAACACCCAAATGGTGGTGACACGCTACAAGACATAACTCCTGCCCTTCCTGGGCCTGTCACCTGCAGTGCTGTGCCAACCTCTGTGCATATGGAGCCCTGTTTGCTGTGTTTGAGTAGCTGCAGTAGGCGAGGAGCAGCTAGTGCATTTTGTTGCATCAGGGATGACAAAGAGGAGACTGACAAGATCTTTCAAGGTGCGAAAGTTTATGCCACTGGCAGGGAAGGTGCAACTGCGGCTTGACAGAATGGGAAAAAGACATACACTCCTAAGGGAATGGAAACTGGAGGCTTGTGACTTCTGGCAGCAGGGAGGCTTGCCAATGGTGCAGGGCCCAGGCAGCAGATGAGATGAACAAGCTCCCTCAGAGGAAGAATCCAGGTTGGACACCATATCAGAGAGCCTCCAAGACAAAGTAATCAGTGGCAGTGAGTGGTTGGTGACTTTCTTTGGGTATGCCAGCCAGACCCATTGCCTAGGAGGGCTTGTTGCTTGCCTGGACTGTCAATTTGTGGTGTTGCATTAAGACTATTTGGGGTAACATAATGTTCTAATTTCTTTCTGCTTTTTCATGCAGACACCAATTAGGCAGTGATATGAAACCATTTTACCTCAAAAGCGACTGTAGGGCTCTTGGGCAAGGGTGAATGGGACAGGAATCCATTTATCTTTTCTCTTTAATCCTGTGGCAAAAGGAAAAAGCCTGGCTAGCAGGAGGTATATCCAACAGACCACACATATGGCTACATATTTGCTGGCACTAGCAGGGCTTCACCTACTGAGGCTTCACCTCATCCTTTGATGAGGAAGGACAATTTAAAAAGAGAATAGATGTGCCTGGCAAAGACAGGGAAGAACATCTTTGTTAACAGGCTTGCTAATCTAGTGCAAAAGACTAAAAGTTTAATTTGCCATAGAACAGGGACCTAATCCAGAAATACATGAAGAAGCAGCACTTATGGAGAAGGTATTCAGAGGGCCCACTTGGCTGAGCAAGGAGTTTCTTAACGAACTAAAATGATAAAAGCATATATTGAAATGGAAATTGTGGAAATGAAAAGCCCATGTGTGGAAACAATGACAGGAAACAAAGGACGAGCACACAAGATTTGCTTGGACACAGGAACAACACTAGGAAGGACAAAGTCCAGCTGGAGCTACAATTAATGTGGGACATTAAAGGGTGACAAGAAGGAAATTTACAAGTATGATAGCAGCAAAAGGAGGTTCAAAGAAGACGTCCATCTATTACTTATTAGGGGAGATAACAAAATGCCAGATGATACGGAAGAGTCTGCAGCAATACCGTTTTTGCCTATAGCTTTTTAGGCCAAGTCTGCTGCTAGACCTCTGCATGTCCAGCTTGGGAAGGAGAGGTATGGGTATGAGTGGGAGAGCAATAACTTGATGAATACACAAAGAAGCCAAATGTGTTCACATATATGGAATCAAATGAGATACAGACATGGGTGCTGAAAGAGCTGATGATGTGATTGTAACACAACTTAATATCATCCATGAAGAATCATTGCTACTACAGGACAACCTTGATGACTGGAGACAAGTTAATTTTACATTCATATTAAAGAAAAGTGTGAAGGAGGATCTAAGAAACTGCCTCACCTTAGTCCTGGAATTCATGGAGCATGTCCTCTTGGAAACAATTTCCAACACGCAAAGGACAAGAGAATAATCAAGAGAAGTCAACAAGGATTTACCAAGTGCAAATCACGCTTGACCTGCTATGATGAAATGACTGGTCATGCGGATGAAGGGAGACAAGTGGATGCAATATACTTTGACTTTATTTAGGCTTTTAACACATTTCCAAAAGTTTCATCATTTACAACATGAGGAAGAATGGACTGGACAAAAGCATTGTAGATGGGCTGAAAATTGGTCAGCCCCCACCAAAGCTCAAATGGTTAAGTCAATGGCATTACATCCAGTTAGCGGTTGGAAATGAGCACAGTAACTCATGGACTGCTACAGAGATACTGATTAGTATCTTCAGCAACAGCTCATATGAGGGGGCACAATGCATACTCCGTAGATTTTCAGGTGATGCAAAACTGGGAGGTGTCAGAACTGCAATTCAGAAAGACCATGAGACACTGGAGGCCTAAGCAAAAGAAACATTTCTGAGGTTTCTGTTTAAGAAACGTAAAGAAGTGCAAAATTCTGCAACTGAGAAGAAAAAGCAATGCAGCAGTATAGACAGGAAAGGAACTAGCTATGTTTCAGGACCTGTTGAAAAGGCTACATAGGCTACAGTGGCTGCTGGGTTGAATGTGAACTAACAAAGCACTACCCTCACAAGCAGTGCAAATAGTGCTCTGGGCTGCCTAAGGAGGAATGTGTGGTCAGCAGATACAGGAAAGTCATTATCCACCTCTATTCAGTGCTCTTGAGGCCTTGCCTTGAGTAATACTTTAGGCCATCAGCTCAAGGACTCTGGAGAAACTGGAGTAGGTCCAATGCAGGGCTACTGTGGTGGTTACAGGTCTGAAGGACAGGCTGAGGGAGCTGGGCTTACTACAGCAAACAGGAGGTTAAGGGGATTACTGGAAGCCTGCAACTACAAGGAGTTACAATGATGATGTAATCAAATTCTCAGCAGCGGCGGAAGATACAGAAGGCCAAAAATTGTCTCTTGGAACGGTTCAAATTGGTCATTAGGGAGATGTTTTTCTTTAGGAGAGTGGTGCAGCAGTGGAAGAGGTTACTCACAGAAGTGGTAGAGTTCCTATTCAAAGCCACTGACCTGATCCAATATTAGTGATTGTCCTGCTCCAATTAGCAGTTTGAGCAGAAGACAA